GGTACCCTCTCTCGAGCATGATCGAGCATCTCAAATTGATTTCAGCATCTGGAGATGCTCGATTAACGTGGCTCACCATCGCGATCGGCGTGAGATGAAAAGTTATTGCTAGCCATCACCCGCCCTCGGGCGTCTACCTCTTCCTATCTCTCTTTGCAGTCTCTCGCCAATTCTCGCTGTGACCTTTATGCCTCCTCGCGGTCTTCTCATTCTCGTCGTTGTCACTCCTGCCGCTTCATCCTCTGACTCATCGCTCTCCTCGGTTAACCTGCCCTACCTTAGGTTTCCGTCGAGTGACGAGTCTCGTCCGAGACGTCTAGTCTCATCCCGCCTCGTGGCATACCTAGCACCTTCACCACATGCTAGGGGGGGGGTCGTGGCCGAGGACCCCCCAGAGACTCGTGGTCAGACCCTCCGGGCCCTTGATTTTACGCCTCATTTCGCAGCATTTTCGAGGGGAAAATCATCTTTTGGAGCTACATGAGCCTTGAGACTGGTCAGATTCTCCAAGATATTGGTCTTTCAGCCACGATTTCACAATTTTGGGGGCAAAATCGGCTCTCTGGCGGCTATTCCTAGCCCACGAACTGCTGGGGGGTGCCCACCACATGCTAGGGGGGGGGTCCGACCCCCCCCAGAGGCTTCACCACATGCTGGGGGGGGGTCCCGACCCCCCCAGAGGCTTCACCACATGCTAGGGGGGGGGGTGGGGCGTGCAGAGAAGTGCGCCCCCCTTGCACGTGGCCGTCGACGGGTGCCCAAATCCGTTGAACCCTGCCCATGTTGAAGTTCCGGATACAACCCTTTTGGCTGCTCGCTGCTGCTTTGACGTTGTTGGTAGCGACGTCCCTTCCTGCGTGTCCAAGGTCGGTGGCCGGTGCCTGCCGCGCAGAGCCAAGTACGAGGACGCGGAGGCTGCGTGCGCGGACAATGGAATGCGGCTATGCACCGAGTCGGAGCTGATGGCTGATGTGTGCTGTGCCACTGGCTGCGGGTACGATGGAGTGCTTGTGTGGAGCTCCACAACTCCACCGCCGCCGCCAGTGCCGCCTCCGCCGCTGCCGCCGCAGCTGCCGCCGCTGCCTCCGGGCCCGCCACCATCCCCGCTCGCGCCTCCCTCGCCGCCGCCGCCCAAAATTTGCTCATACCCGAGCATTGAGGCGGAACGACAATACTGTGGCGACGGCGGTGCCACGGCCCTTGCTGCCGGCTTCGCGCCCGACCTCGCCACGTGCCAGCAGCGGTGCGAGAGTAGCAGCGGGTGCAGCTTTGTCTCCTACTTCACGACCAAATGGTGCCGCCTCACGGCGACCTGCGATACGGTGTGGACTGACAGAACAAGCGCGACGCACCACACGGTCAGCGTGTACACATGCACGGCACCGCCGCCACCGCCAAACTTCCTCCTCATCTACTCTGACGACCATGGCGGCGGACGTCGCTCGCGCGAGGATGTGCAACAACGCGAGGGGACGCACCCCCGACGGCAAAAGTTCCATCCATGCCCATTTGCAGGGATATACCGTGACAGAAAAGAGAAAAACAAGAGCTTTCATCCAAGCCTTGAGGCACGCACGTTAAGTTGAGACAAGAGAGACACTCTCGTTGATAGGTGGGTTGAGACACACACTTGAGGCGGGTTCGGTGCACCTGCTGCGGCTTGCAGGCGCCGCGGGCCGATTGCAGGGGGCGTCCCTTGGGGTGTGAAGATACGACGTATTTTCTTCTCATAACAAGGCTGTGAACGGATTCAGGCTGCAACCACCCCTTCCTCATCAGGGAACCCGTAGCTTGTTGTGTGACCGCGAGGGCAGAGCATCATGGGTGGGCGCTGCTCCCGCGTCGCGTCCCCCGCCCAAACCGCCGCCGCCCGCCGCCCCCGCATCGCGACATCACCCCCCGGGCCTCCGCCCGCCGGACCTCCGCGCGCTCCCGCCACCCACCGGACCGGCCGTCCGGGCGCAGGGTCGCGCGTGTACGTCGGCAACCTCTCGTGGCACACGTCGTGGCAGTCGCTCAAGGACCACTTCCGGCAGGCGGGCGAGGTGGTGCACGCGGACGTGATGCAGCACGACGGCCGCTCCAAGGGCTGCGGCATCGTCGCCTTCGCCACGGCGCAGGAGGCGGCCAACGCGATTGCGACGCTCGGCGAGACGGAGCTGGACGGCCGCACCATCTTCGTGCGCGAGGACCGGGAGGAGGCGGCGCCGCGTGGCCTGCCGGCGCCGGGGACACGGGCGCCGGCACCGGCCGGAAAGTTCTACGGCGGCGGGCTGCCCGCC